TCAGAGGACCTGGGTTAGAATCGGTGTTGCTACCCTACTCTATATTATAAAATTATTTTTATATCATCGGGTAATAAAGCTGTAATGCTTGTTTCTTTATATTTGTCGATGGTTTTTTTAGATCATTAGCGGTCTTTCAATCTTATTATTATAGTATTTTAGATTGTACATACATACATTCTGCGTGCTATGAAGTTCCGCTTTAGAATTCATATTAAGAATCTAAGACCGTAAAATAATTATCATGTAAATTATTATATAACTATTAAATAAGTATTATATATAAACTTTTGCACAACTTACTATATGTATATATATTAAATAGCATAGCGCAATATAACATATTTTTCATTATGGATATTTTTATGTAGACTTATTGGAAGGGGATCGCTAAGATCCTCGATATTTACATTTGTTTTTATTCCAGAAAATCTTACTTCATAAGCTCGAATATGTTCATGAAATCCTATAGTTGTCAAGATATCACAATAAAAAATCACAATATTTTGACTGACAATTACAGCATCAATTGACCCAAATAAGGGACCGGATTCATTTTCATCAATCATAACAACTAAATTTTCATGGAAACGAATTCCCTTGTATTCAATCCAGTTAGATATTATATAAAATTATTTTTTATATCGTCGGATAATAAAGCTGTAATTCTTGTTTCTTTATATTTGTCAATGGTTTTTTTAGGACCAATTATCAAACTAGGAAAAATGGAAGATGAATTTATGAATCTATAGCACATGTGCAATTGATGCTTTACAGCAACTGAACAAGCTGTATCTTTTTTATATGAGATTATATTATGTGCAATTGATGCTTTACAGCAACTGAATAAGCTGTATCTTTCTTACATGAGATTATACAAGCTGATTTTTTCAAATATTTATGTTTGGCTTCAAATTTGTAACATGAAGTAAGCTGATTTTTTCAAATATTTATGTTTGGATTCAAATTTGTAACATGAAAACTGACTCACGGGCTCTACATTTGTCATAAAGTTAGGATAGTGAACAAGTTCGTGATATTTTGGTTTCAAATTGTCATTTGTTATTTGTAAGTACAATTTATGATGTTCACACTCGTAACAAGCACTCGTAAAATATTGGAATGATTTTTATGATTACTTTTGGCAATCACCACCTCAATGATTTCTCTTAAAAGTTTATATAATAGCCAAAAAAAATCATTATCAGGAACTAAATCACCTACTAAGACCAAAATATTTTACAAAACACAATGTTTCAGTAGCACTCATTTTTAATGATAAATTATTTAAATGGTGTTGTAAGATTAAAGGAGGTTTAGATGATTTATCAATAGATCCATAATTAAACATATTCATTCGACTATTTAATCGATCGAGTGTAAAATAATTACATTCTATGCAATGTTTAATTATATAACACATATCAGAATGACAAATTCCTTCAGCAAGATCATGCATCGAATCTAAAGCAGAATTGACTGTTACATGAAAATTTATTAGTTTATTAAAAATGCTTCTTTCTTTTATACCTGTTAAAGCTTCATTGTTTGTAATAATATTTTCTTCATAATTTTCTGGATTTCTCCGGTATAATACATCGTCTTTACATAGCACTTGCATATTTTGTTTTTTATTTCTACAAATTCTACAGTAATAATGAGCGTTAAAACTTTCTACAAAACCAAAAATAGAATTAAGCCCTAAATTATCACCAGTACAAAATTCAGTAGTAAAATATACTTTTTTTATTTCTCCATTAGTTGTAATAAAAATTCCTTCGCTTGCTAAATGATTAAGTTCATCAATAAGAGGAGCAAAAGTTTTTTTATTACCATATATTTTTCTATTAATACTTTCAAAAATTAATGTAAGAAAGATATTATCTGCATTAAACTGACATTCAGGTGGAAGACAAAGTAATGTTACATAGACTACACCGAGTTTATCTGATTTTGGACCAAGTGGATTATTTGGTTCAAAGTCATCAAAATAAAACATTAAAGGTAAAACTATGTCGTTTGATTTATAAAGTGATAGCTTGTTTTTCCACATATTAGTTTGTACATAATTATATATTTGATCTGTATTATTTTTTAGGGAATTTATATATGAGAGTATATCATCTAAAGCATGAGGAATTTTGAAAAAAGGTTGTAACATTTGTCTTAAAGAAATAAATTGTCCAGTCTTATTAGAACGTTGTTCAATGCTACGTCCAATTATATATGATTGTGGAGCCACATATTGTCCACTTTTTGTAAAATACTTTATTCTACGATGCTCCGTCGACATAAAACCGAAAGAATCTTTATAATTTTTACAAATTGTTTGAATATCACTTACAGCAGTTGTATTATTGTTTGAAGGTGAGATAGTATTTAAGCAATATTCAATTTTTTCAAAACAGTCGTTAAAAAAAAGTTCTTGAATTTCTTGATACAAATTTTGAACATGTTTTCGTGAAAGGACATAGTTAGATGAAAGCCTTGCAAAGAAAGAAGCAATTTTATCGGTTGTATGATTTTCCATGTCAAAATTATTGTGAATCAATGGATTTTCGGAATTAGAAGTTTCAAAAGAATTATCATTATGAATATAAACGTTATGCATATAATCTTGATCATTACTTTCTAGTTTTCTTTTTTTATGATTTACATACATTTTTGTGTGTAAATCTTGAACATTATGATGTAAGTTTAAATGTCTTTGTAATGATCTAAAAGTATCATATTAAATCATATTTTCTATTCTGACAACCAGTTTCGACACATTCATAATATTGAATTTCTCTATGTTTAAATTCAAAATGTATACATAAAATTTTAATGTTCAAGAGTTCATCTTTATATATAAAACAAATCAGCATTTTGAAACTACAAAGTACAATATATAGAAGTACAATATATAAAAGAATATATAATAAAAGTTACATAAACTTTCAATAAAATAAATTGAAAAAAGAAAAAATTTTAATGCTTGTAAAAGTTAGCAATAAGGAAAAACATCAATTGCTTTTTTCACGAAAAACAGACTAAAATAAAATTTTCATTTTAAGTTACAATTCAATTATGTAACATTCAATTATATCAAAATTTTCAACTATTCATGTTGATATTTTTATTTATATTTAATGACAATGTGTAATACAGAACATATTTTTTTCATATTTTATAATAAATACAAAAGACAAATAATGATTTTTCAAGAAACGCTGCTTTTATAAAGAAAAATTTTTATATTCTTTTATTAAAGTACTAACGGCGCTAAATTTTTTATCGTATTTGGAAGTAATACCATAAATACCAGTTTGTAGAAAAAGATAAACTTGTTCACTTTCCTTAGGATATTCAGCATGTAGGCTATGGATACATTTAAAGACTATATCAATAGCTTTTAATGGTGATTCCACTTCATAATGTATTTTATCAACGATTACTATACTATGTTTTATATCAGTTTCTGAAGGTCCTATGATGACAGCCTGTGGTTGCAATGTTAATTTGAAATGATGTAACTTCTCTCTTCTTTCATTAATTTTGGTATTTAAGTCGCCATACGTCTAAATCAAAGTTAAAATAGAAAAATAATATAAATGTCCTTAATACAATTACGATTTATACAAATATAAATTGAAACTGTTTAAAAGAGTATTCGCCTACAAGAATCGAAAAATAATATTTTTTGGAATTTTTTTTATAACAAAAATAAATTTTTGTTTTTAACATATTAATAGCCAAATTAGATATTTTAATAACATTTTAATCCCTGGTAAAAAAATGTTCATATTTATCATATTTTAAATAAAACTTTCTGAAAAGATACTTTTAAAATTTTGAGACAGCTTATAAACTTTTTTTAGAAACCGTATAAGATGAAAAATATTTGAGATCTTAGAATATTTCAGAATTCACATATAAAAAAATTTTAGAAAAGTAGACTTTCACAGAACTTCTGAAATGTTCCAATTTGTGTAAAAAATGTGACAAATTTTATAAGACAATTATAAATTTTGAAAATTTTGAAGATTTTTAAAATTTACATAAAATTTTTGAAAAGTAATATGAAGAATTTATAAAAAAAATTTTCATTAAGAGCATAAAAAAATAGTGACAAATTTATACCTCAATTCGCCATAGAAATGCTTCTCGTCTTTCGCATAACGATGGCCGCCAATTGTAACTTCTTCCTTTTCCGACAATTGCTGTATATACAGGAAAAAGAGAAGGTAATTTCGACAAAAGTTGGACTATTTTTTTATCTATAACAAAACATTAATTTTTAATGTGTACTTTGTATTGCATTGATTAATTTTATAAGAAATTACTGTGAGATATTTGTATATATTTATTTATACCTGGATTAGAATGTGTTTTAAATTTTGGATCTATTTTAGCCACTTTTTGTTCAATGAATGCTGACAATTTTGCCCATTGTGTATATATTTTCATATGTGCTTCAGGATATAATTTTTCAAAATCTTTTTCCAGCTGAAATGAAAAAGGAAAAGGAAAAATAATTAGAATAAATATTTATGTAGCATCAAGTTGTATTAAAAAGTAATTTAAAAAAATAGAAACAAATTTTTGAGATAAAAATAAAATTATGTTAAATTTGTACAAGTTTAAATAAAAACCAGTTGAAATATGAAAAGATTAAATTAAAATAGAAATATAAAAAATTAAGGAATATAGAAAAACCTAAAAAAATTATTTTTATTTATTCTTACTAAGGTATATCCTTGAGGATCTTCTAAAGCAGAATAGAGTTTAATATAATCTTGAATACTATGATCACCGGATTGTAAAGATTTTAATCGTATTTTAGATGTTTTCTCCCATAATTGAGTTACTTTTATCCATGGTTTATCATTATTTTGCAACCACAAATCGTATTGCTCACAGTCTGAATCTAAAAACAAATACTTATAACTTATAAAAAATTTTTTTAAACTAAATTTTTAGAATTTTTGAAAAACCTTCACAATCATCAGCTATTTCTTCTATTTCTTCTTCTTTTTTTAATTGCACCTTAATAGCGCCAGATTTTATAAGATTTCTTCTTACAGACTGAAATTTTATTAAAATTTTTCCTCTTCCTACACTTTTTCCTTTTTCATTTTTGTCACAAAGTATCCAAGTGTCCTATAGTTAAAAAAAAAACTTTATATTTTAATACATTATAGAACTTTTTTACTAAAATTACATATCGTGTAATTCATAAAAGCTTACTTTTTCTTCTGTAGGAAATAATTCAATTATTTTCTTTGCTATATATTCTGCACGTTCAGAAGTAATTCTAGAAATTCAACAAATAGCTGCAGATATATAGCCTAATATTTTATAATATGCTTTACAATTACTACATGTAAGTATAATATTCTAAAATAAATAATAAAATGTGTTTAAGTACCGATAATTTAGATTGTTTCTAAGTTCATAATGTACAATAATATCAGCCAAAATATTTCTCTGTTTTTCATCTAATTCTCCGTGAAATTGATATACAGATAAAATAATGTGAACTTTAACAGAATCTTTTAAAACATCTTCTAAATTCTAAAATATTATAAATAAAATAAAATTAATTTTCTAAATTAGAGGTATATGTTAGAAAATTGTATACATATGTTGAAGTAAATAAGTATTTGAGATAATATATATTGAAGAACATACATAATCATTGCTAGTTAAGTTATTGTATCGTTGTGTTGATTTTTCTATCTCTTTTAACATTGCTGTTTTAGTGATTCTGGATTCATCCGTTTTATGCGACATTAATGATTTATTTGAGTCTAATTTATGACCATTTAAAATATTGTCACAGAATAGTTTCTGTTTTTTTTTTGGAGGTTCAACATTATTAAAAAATTCTTTATCTATAGGAAGTAAATTATTATTTTAATCAAACATGAAATATAGTAAACTTGTTGCAGTATGTTTAGATAAGTAATAATTGTTGTTATATAAAAGTATTATAAGTATATTAATTGTCATAAATGAATTTTTACCATTTTCATCTCCAATAATCAATATTTTCGTATCAGTCAAATCATATTCATTGCATGATGACATATCAACATCCATCGATAATATTGATTCTGCAGTGGCACATCCATTTTCAATATTTATTGTTATATTGGGATTTTTAACAGTACTTTCATTTTTTGCATTATCCTTCTCCTTATTTAGTGCTTGTTCTTCACGATCTATTTTATTCGAATCTTTAAGTTGCTACAATTAAAAGAATAAATTTATATTTAAAAAATAATTAATAGTCAAGAAATTGTGATTATAGTATATAATACACTTTTTTTACATTTTTACTTAAAAAATCCTTCAAGTTTTTCCGAAATAAAATTTGTGCACCAATTTTTGGTATTAATATTTTTATGTCATCATCGGTTAAATATTGCAAAAGGTCAATTTTGATATCATTTTCTGTAAATTTTTAATAAAAAACTATTATTTAACGTTAAAAACACAAATAAAATTTTAACATACGTTGAAACATTTATACAATAAAAATAACTATTTTTTAATTATTTAAACAGATATTAAGAATCTTTATTTTATTTAATTATTAAAAAAAATGCAATTTTTTTCATTATTATCTTTTTATACTATATTTGGAATCATGTGTTCTAAGAAAATTTATTAACAGATAATGAGCAATTTAATTATATTATATTTAACTATTTTATATATTTTATATACATATATCTTCTGTCGCACGCACGCACGCACGCACACACGCACACACACACACACACACACCATTATATAACATTATATATATAGCATTATACAAGAATAAGAAACTTATATAATAACTATACTTAATAAAAAATATTACATTTAATTTAACACAACCGCAAGGATATAACTAGAACATACACACAAGAAATTATTAATAATTTAATCATGAATATTGTAAAAATATGCCATAGAACTCTTCTGTTGCAAATATTACTTTGTTATTAGTGACATATATATAAATAAATGATAATACTTTTTCTATATATCTATAATATGGATATACTTACTTTCAAATTTTTTAATTATTTCTTCATCAACAACACACCACTGATTGAGTAATTCTCTTATTGTTTTACACATCTTGTAGCCGAAAATATTCAGTGTGTAATTCTCATAAAAGAAGCTTTGTTGAAACAAGTGTAAATGCGTATACACAAGATGGACTCTTATAACGAAAGGAAGCGATAGGCGATCGAAATAGGTGACCACTATGCACATTACAGAGAATAGCCATGTATTTTTTCTTCTCTCCAAAGAAATTAGTCGTACACAGTAGCAGATATGTACAGGGTGCTTCCGATACATACACATCAGTAAGTTGGGTTGCCTTTCGGCAGAGGCATGCTCATCCGCAGGGATCTGATTATCGGCATAGTAATGCAGAATAAGATTAGATCGCAAAAGACCAGAGAAATTGAATTTTACATTCTGATATAGTAAAATTCAATAATATGATATAAAATAGTATATATTTACTAATCAAATAATAATACCTGACCTAATCTAACCTAAAATTTAACGAACATGTTTGAACAAAAAATATTTTTGTCTTGAAATGCTTATATAATAAATGTTTCACATGTAACTACCATTTTTTTCTAACATAAGTATAAAACAATTCTGCATATTTACAATATTTTATGGATTGGCAGTCATTTAAATAGCATAACAAATAAAAACTTATACTGGCGATATCGTCATGACGTTTAAATTTTTGTCAATGGTCTATTGAACACGTAAATTTGTTTTCTAATTTTTTATTGCAATATATAAAATTTATTGTTAGTTTTCTTAATTCTTGTGTCATTAATTTTATATTAAATTACTCAGTTTATATAGATGGATTTCAGTGATGCCGGAAATTTATTTATTTTTGAAAAATACTCTGGTCTGACGAAACAATTTGTAGAAAAAAATAAATACATAACCTAACATATTACATTATTATGTAGAGCACAGTCCACGCTGCATAAAAAACATTTATGGACTATGAATACGTGGCT